AAAGTATGTAAAATGTCATAGGTACTTGGAGACAGGACAATATTTTTAAGCCCTCTCTCTTTTTTCCAAGGTCCGTTATTTTTATATTTTTTTTCTGTTTAATTCCATTATTTTCGCGTTTCTGTATACTATTAACATACGTATATCATAAATAAAGTGTATTTGCTATTAACTATCAATTCCAAATTTCTTCTCCACGGCGATCACTGCTATTATATATAGAGAGTCTCTATATATTATAGTAGTATAATCATAGTATACATGCAGATAAACGCGAAAATGATTGTCCTGTCCCCGAGAAAATTATTTGTAAGTTTAAAACCGGAAGTCTTGTCTATGACTTAAAAGTCGGTCTGATGACGGAAACAATATCCGGACGTCTTTATTTTCGTTTTTCTCCCAAAATAACCCAAACTGAATAATCATAAGAATAGATGACAAATGCGACTATGCAAGGTACCTATAGGACACAGAGGCATGATGATTAATTTGTTGTGGAAGGAAGAGAAGCGACACATAATGAGGTCTTCTCGTTTAATAGTATAGATTATGATAATTCCCAGATTTTAATCTTAAAATAATTAGAAATATCGAAAAGCAGAAAATATTTTTCTCAATAAATACATGAAACTAAATACAAAGATTTTTTCAAATAGCTTCTTAGAAAAGAAATTATTTGATCTGAAGTACGTTTTCCCCATATTCCGAGATTACTCTGACGTCCAACGGCTGATTTGCCAGACAAGCTGGGGCTGTGGGACGTCAGAGCTCGTCCCATATCAAAAAGTGGATATTTGCCCGTCCAAAATAGATGCGCTGCTTCGTTGCTTCTGGAGCCGACTGACGGCATTGGATCCATATAAATTGGGCCTCAATTTCTTCATTCATGTAAGTTTCATCTACCTGTCACCCTTTATTTTCTCATATTTGGACAGTTTTCACAGTGACCCATCGATTCTGGCATTTTAACTTTTATTTTCAAATGGACGTCAAGTTACGAGAGACTTCGCGGCCTCGAGACTGAAGAATGCAAATTTTTATGCTAATTTCGGCCGCAGCTTGTCTGGCAAACCGTTGGACGTCAGAGTAATCTCGGACTAGTTTTCCCATTGTTTTTTTTTTTTTTTTTTTGTTAGCTATCGGGGGTTATTTCGTCCCCTTATTGTAGAGTAATTCATCGGCAAGTCTCATTCCGGGCCGCGTGATTTAACGTGATTTCACTGAGTTGCCAATCTCTGTGTAATATAATGTCTCTGGGTTGACTTAATAAGCCATGTGAAAGCCTTAACGTTAGAAGGTTTAGTTTTCTTAAAACATTTAAAACCTGCGTACCAGACTTAGAGTAAACTTTGGTTCAGACATATTGCTATAAAGGTTGACTTTAATTTATAAAGGTTTTCGTGCTCAAGACTATGTGACTGCTCTGGCAGACGTGAGATTAAATCTAAAGTTCGTTTTGTCAACCTTCTATTTATAATTTTCACACAATCAAAACGTTTGTTATGTAAACAAGCAATCTCGTGTAATAAACCGCCAATACACAACTAATATGGCTTCTCGAGTAAATAGACTATGGCACTGTTGGAATTTAGATGATTACGACTAAAACACAAGTTATTATACCAAGAAAATAAGTTAGTTAAAAAGATAAACACATGCCCACATAATTTATTTGTTACGTTTGGAGGACGTGTTTTTCAACAGACTGTCGGAATTCCAATGGGAACCAATTGTGCCCCTCTTCTTGCCGACTTGTTTCTTTATTATTATGAGGCTGACTTCATACAGGAACTTCTTAGGAAGAAAGATAAGAAGTTAGCAATATCCTTTAACTCTACGTTCCGCTATATAGATGATGTTCTCTCACTAAATAATACAAAATTTGGTGACTATGTTGAACGAATCTATCCCATCGAACTAGAGATAAAGGATACTACAGATACAGATAAGTCTGCCTCATATCTTGACTTACATCTAGAAATTGACAATGAGGGTCGGTTGAAAACAAAACTTTACGACAAAAGAGATGATTTCAGCTTCCCAATTGTGAACTTTCCATTTCTATGTAGCAACATTCCAGCAGCGCCTGCATACGGAGTATATATCTCCAAATTGATACGATATTCCCGGGCTTGTGTTTCCTATCATGATTTCCTTGATAGAGGATTGCTGCTGACAAGGAAGCTATTAAGCCAAGAGTTCCAAATGGTGAAGTTGAAATCATCCCTTTTGGTGGGGTTCGTGTTGCTTAGTCTTTAGTTTTCTATGTTGTGTCATCTGTACTATTATTTGTCTGTTTGTCTTTTTATTTTTGGCCATGGCGTTGTCAGTTTGTTTTCGATCTATGAGTTTGACTGTCCCTCTGGTATCTTTCGTCCCTCTTTTATTATAAACATACCTGCCAACCAACCGTAAATATTCTGTACAAACTCAGTGTAAAAACTGCGATGTAAAAGCGTAAATAAAATAGCTGATTCATAACATTACTACGATAAATTACGGACAACTGAGGTTCTAACCACGAGATCCATTAATTAAATCATACGATTACTAAATCGTAACAATATTGAAAATGAAAAACTACAACTTCAAAATTGGTCCATTTTAACGAGAAAAACGTGTCCATGTTTCATGTCAAAAAGTTTTGATTTTCTTTTTAATGTTGAAATTTTTAATCTTCCATGCCCAGTCGTCCTATAATATATGAACTCGGGGGCATTATTTTCTATTCCTGTTTATTTCTGATATTTTCTTTTTACTTATTTTGCTATTTTCATACGACCGCAAAAAAATTTGCGGTCGTATATTGGTATCACGTCGTCGTCGTCGTCAGCGTCGTCCGAAGACATTTGGTTTCCGGACAATAACTTTAGTAAATAACCACAAAAGGAAGGTTGGGATTGATTTTGGGGGTTATAGTCCTAACAGTTTAGGAATTAGGGGCCAAAAAGGGGCCCAAATAAGCATTTTTCTAGTTTCCAGACAATAACTTGTGGAACGGTGTATGGATCTCTCTGAAATTATACCACAAGTTTCCATACCACAAAGGGATGGTTATGATTGGCTTTGGGGGTTATGGTTCAAACCGTTTAGGAATTAGGGGCAAAAAAGTGGGAAAAACAAGGGTTTCCTGGTTAACGGACAATTAAAAAAAAGTACAATGTTAAGTTTGGACTACATCCCTTACACTGCTTTTAAATTTTGTATAAAGAAATGTTGTATTGTCTTGAGGTGATTAGCTGTCAATTTATTTTCAGAAGTTACTATTTAAAAATGCTGATTAAGGAATATTTAATATATTAATTTTAGCCATGAGTATGTATGTCATTTTCTATTTTAAGACTTTTATGATGTATTTAAATGGGTAATTATGGATGCAAACTCCATTGGAAATTTGAATTTAGATTATGACCATATCTTGAGGGAAAGAATAATTTTTTTTGGAAAAAGGGGGGGGGGGGGGGGGGTGTTTGAGGTGAAAACAAAATTTGGGGGGGGGGGGAGAAATTGTGAGGGGGGACAATTTTTTCTCATTTCAGATTTCAGAAATTAAAAAGAATATTGTTGTTTTTTTTGGGGGGAGGGGGGTCAATTCGCAACAGCATAGTGTATTGCACAAAAGCAAAAAATTGAATATAAATTCAAATCATATAACCAATTCTAAGTTCTTTGACTACAGTTATTCTGTGTCAGAAACCTATTATGTGTCAAATATTTAATTACAATCCAAATTCAGACCTGTATCAAGCACGAATATTGTGTCCATTTTTGGCCCGACTGTTCAGGGTTGGACTTCTGCGGTCGTATCCAGCTGCGCTCGGCGAAGCAATGTATTCTTTTTTATAATTTATCTTTTTTTTTACTATCAATGCATTAAAAAAAAATGAAAATATCAGTATGAAAACGTTAAATAATGAAAATATAATTCGAAGGCATATATTGTAGGACTACCATGCCAGTACTTCATGATTAAAAATCTTCTTTGTCAACCATCAAACTTTTCATAGGAGTAGCTTACACTGGGTAGGCTATTATAGGTGGCTAAGATTGGTATAGATTGGAGATAAATGAAGGGAGGAATAAATAGGAAGAATTGAGAGGATGAGTAATATTGAGAGTGGTTGTAAAAAAGTAAGTTTGGGAGGGAGTGAAAGACGGGGGTGTTAATTTCTTTGTAAGGGCTTTTTGTACTGGCCTAATGGAAGTGCAGTTTTCTCTTTTCTCTCACGTAGTTTCTATTTTCTTCAGAAATCTGTTAACATTTTAACTTCTGAAATTACTGCTGTTTAAAAATTTACAAGTTAACATCCTTTCTTGTTACTGATTATGTGCTGCTTATATATAAACATTGTAGCACTTCTCAGTGACTAGATTAAGGGTTGCAGCTTTTCGTCAATTTTAACAGCATCCTCTAACAGTTCTATATGTAGTAATATAAATAATTACATTTAGAGTAATTTTGCTGTCCAGTCTTTTGGAATGCCTGCCCATCTTTTTATAACTTTCAAGGCTTAATTCCTGTCCATATCCAATAATTTGTTTCCAGTGGAATTTTAAATTCCTTCCTATTCATCCCGGTCGACTTCCTTTTCCAGGACCTACCTCTTGTATTAATTGTTAATTAGTTTTCGTCCTGGACATGCATGACATATTTGCCACTGGACGTAAAGCAAACAATAATCAATCCATCAAACAACCATTAATTTATTAATGTCCCAGTTTCTGAATGAGGATTCTGATGATGATTTGATTAGCAACTCCACCTACGATTGAAGATTTGATTGCTATACAATGTAATAACTAATTTTCTGAGTGATATATGTATATAATTGTTTTGTTGTGTCTGTTTATTTTAATTTTTATTTGATCATTTAAAATTAAGGATTAGCATTGTGTATTATTCTATTTTAACTTATTGACATGGACTATTGACGGACGAATTCTCATCTCATGCTTTGGTTAAGTTTGATTTCACTGTAGTTAGTACTATATTTTCACGGTTGATTTGAGCGCTATCGTACATTTCTTCTATTGGTCAGTACTTTTGGCGGTTTAATTCCTTTGTTCTAGATCTTATGGGAAGACATCTTGTGGTCAACAATTATATATTTACCTGTCTGCAATTTAACAACTTAAAGAAATTAATATCTTAAATAACAATTCTCTGATTGGAAAGTTTCTTATATAAGGTCAGTCTTATTCTTTCTTTATTAATTTTGCAATAACTGTCCAATAGTTCATATTTTACACGTATGCATGTTTAGCATGTTTAGATTGAATGTCGAGCATGAGTGTTAAATTTTATAACAAAAGAGATCGTAAGTATATTTAAAACATAAGAAAAGTAGAATTTTACGATCAGATATAATAATACTTCAATAATCTATTTAAATTTGGTATAATAATTTGAAGATTAAACTTTACTTATAAAATTGAATGAATGCACGTATCGAGCGGCCCGGTATGCATGCTGTAATTTTTAAAGGTTAATCAAAGTAAAGTAAATATATCTTAGAGCTAAAAATAGATATCTAGGTTCAATATTGATTTTTATAGTAAACATGAGTTTGTACTATAAACAATAAATAATGCTTAACAGAGATTTATAATAATCATTTTTGTTATACAGGTATATTTAAACCTTACCAAAGATGTAGTATTTGATATTTATAATAGACATTGGTATGAGACAGCATATGAGAACATGTACTATAATATCTAAGTCTAATTGGTATAACTGTAATTGAGACAAGTAATGGCTAGTGTATCCACAGTATATATTTTTGTGACTAGATACATAAGTATGCAGCTAAATAAGTTTGCATGATAATGAGTTACGAACATTAGTTTTAATTATTACTTAGTAAACAGATTTATCTATCAGTAACTTATAAGTACATTTATATAATTCAGGGCTGTATTTACATATCCATATATACTTCGTTTCGTCTGAATAAAAGTTACAGAACCCTAGATTGCAGTTATTTCTTTTATTACTAAAAGCCTGAAGAATCCGGCTTTTACAATATCTCTTTACATCATAACTTATTTTAGAGTCTATGGTTAAATCATATTTAATTTTAGATTTACATTATTGGTTCATGGAAATGAAGTTTGAGTTATTTCCATTGGAACAGAAATGGTTTAACTAAGAAGTATTTCATCAAAAATTGAATTCTTGGGGTTCTTTGATATGCTGATTCTAGCAATATACTTAGATTTTGGATATTGGACCATATAGGTAAATGTTCAATTTCAAATTTTTCAGTTCTTTGACCACATTTATTTTGTGTCACAAACCCATGCTGTATCAAATATTCAATCATAATCCAAATTCAGAGCTGTTTTAAGCTTAAATGTTGTGTCCATACTTGCTCAACTGTTCAGGGTTTGACCTCTGCAGGAAAATCCTGTTTGCTGTCTCCCTGACAGCCTCTTGTTGGTTATTATCTTAAATATTATTATAGATAGCCCAAAAACGAGTGCAAAGGAGGAAAAGAACTGTGATAAGATTATTTTTCTCTTACAGAATTTATTGGCAATTATATGCACCAGACTTCTTATTATGAAATTCACTTTGAAGTTCCAGTAAATACGTGCATCAAACATACTACCAACTTTACCAGATTACCAGATTACCAGATTACCAGCCACTTCCGATAGTTTAATGAAGGAACACAGCATTTACATTCAGCATAGACTAGCGATATTTTATTTAATTTTCCCTATACCTTCGGTGGTCAAACACTTTACAGCATTCCCGACGCGATTGGGAGTAGTACCTCTGGCCAAGGGAAGCCAGTCGAAATGGTACGGAATTGCCAGTAAAATGTCGTCTATATTTGGAAATAAAGACGTTAATTGAACACAAAGTTTACACAGAACACAACTGACAATAATTTATTGTATAATTCGTTCCACTGTGCAAGAGTGCTAACACATGATGGCAGAATAATTTTAACAAACATTGTAACAACAAAAACATTGTATTTTTATTTTTAATATTTTTTTTTATTTTAATAGTTTACTTCCATATATACTTACTTTCACTTTCTCTTTCAATTGCTATTTATAACGTTACTCACCATAGCAACATTGTGACGTTTTAATTTTCTCAACCCGATTTTGTACCTCAGCATGATTTTGTGTTTTGTATTCTATCCTGATGACGGTGGCCTAGCCACCGAAACATGTCGATCTCAATAAATTACTGGAGCATTCCTTAAAGTGTTGTTGTTACTAGACCTTCTACATTTTATGTTTTCATCGTAACGACCCTGCATACCCGAGGTATCCTCTTTATGGAATCTACTGACAGATTTACCAGGCGTTGGTTCACTTGTGTTTTAATTTTTTAATTTAATTATTATAGATGGAGATAAACTGTAACAACAATAATGTTCTGCAAAGTAAGATTTACAAAAAAGTTAATGACAAAAATTGTCAATTGACCCCTTAAGATCCTTAAGGATGTACTTTAATAGGTGAAATTAAAAAATCAAGAATTTAAAATTGATACTATAAGTTGGAAGAGCATTTAGAGTTAAGGAACAAAATAAGCTAAAAATATTGATAGGATAGGTTATGGAGCTCCTTTTCGAGATATTTGATTTTTTAAAAATGACGGGAAAAGGCTAACTCAGACTTTTACCTTATATTTGCATTGGTATTATTTGGGTCTCAAATCGAAAGAAAAAAAAAATCTAGAATCTGCTTGAATATTGGTAAATGACCTCTTATGAGCTATTAATACTTATATGAAAAGATATATGTCCCTTTAGGTTATAACTATGGTATGCAAGCGGGGGCATCATCTGTGTCCACATGTGGACACTATCCACATTTATTTAGTTATTGCCCTTGTACCTTGGTTAGATAAAATATGTGCAACACGTGGGACATTGGAACTCTGTTCTTTTATTTGAATCTGGAATAATTTTGAATTCTAGAAAATTTGATAAGTAAATTGTATGTTACATTCCTTATCAATTTTCCAGAATTCAAAAATTATTCCAAATTAAAATAATACCTTGTTTATAAGATATTTTATTATCATCAAATTAAGTATGATATCTCATTAAGAATACAAGATATATTATATACTTTATAAGATATATTATTAACATATAAAATATCACGAAATTGAATAATATAACACTACACGAAAAGGCAGATTTACAACAATTTGGTCAGTCATGTAAATGTTTGACAAATGTAACTACTTTTCTGCCAGATATATTTGCGGACCTACTAATGTATATGTAAATGTCATTATTTAGGACGTCCTCAAAGATATGCTTAAAATAATTATTTTATTTCCATAGCTTTATTCATATTCCAAAGACATGTAAAGATAGGCCTTAGATTTACATGCACTTTCCAGGATAGGAGATATATGCAAAGTTTAAAATTTGCATAATTGTTTTACAGAGGTGTGGGCAGTTTTGAGAGACCGCGGTTTATAAAACATTTACAACCAATGTAAATGCTGTCAAATGTTTCTGTTATATTTGCAAATGTTTCTCGATATCGTCCATGCATGTAAAGAAATGTATTTTATTTACTTATACTTTCCATTATTATAGTTATTTTGATAAATATTGATATTTGCAGCATATCTTTACAGACGTATGCAAAGAGACCGCGGGTTATAAAAAAAAGCATTTACAGCCAAAGTAAATGCTGTCAAATGTTTGTGTTATATTTGCAAACGTTTGTCGATATAGTTTATGTATGTAAAGACATGTATTGTATTTACTAATACTTTCCATTATCATAGTTATTTTGATAAATATTGATATTTGCAACATATCTTTACAGACATATGCAAAGTTTTGAGAGACCGCGGTTTATAAAACATTTACAACCAATGTAAATGCTGTCAAATGTTTGTGTTATATTTGCAAACGTTTGTCGATATCGTTCATGTTTGTAAAGAAATGTATTTTATTAACTAATACTTTCCAGTATTATAGTTATTTTGCTAAATATTGATATTTATTTGCAACATATCTTTACACAGGTATGCAAAGTTTTGAGAGACCGCGGTTAATAAAACATTTACAACCTAAGTAAATGCTGACAAATATTTGCTTATTTTTGCAAACATTTGTCGGATGTATTCATGTACGTAAAGAAATGCATTTTATTTACTTCATAGTTATTATATTAAACATTGATACTGTAGTGTAAAAAGGCTTGCCATGCACAGGTACACTTGGGATTCTGTGATATGCTGAAACTAAGCATATAATTAAATTTTTGATTTTGGGCACAGTTTTCAAGTTGGTTAAAAATGGGGTCCAAAATTAAACTTTGTTTAATTTTAACAAATATTGAATATATGGGGTTCTTTGATATGCTGAAATTAAGTGTGTATTTAGATTTTGGATTTTGGGTCCTGTTATCAAATTGGTTCACATTGGGGTCCAAAGTATCCAAAATTAAACTTTGTTGGATTTCTTCTAAAATTGAATTCTTGGGGTTCTTTGGATATGCTGATTCTAACCATATATTTAGAATTTGGATATTGGACCATAATTGGTCATGTTGGTAAATGTCCAATTTTAAATTATTTAAGTACTTAGACCACATTCATTCTGTGTCTAAGTTTGATAGATTTTTTAAAGGCATTGTATTAATGATAAATGATATTTTGGAAATTGGTTTTTTTCTTCATTTTTTTTGGTGAATTTTTTGAAGAACTTTGTAGTAGGTTTGTTTGTTATTCTCTATAGATAAATTTTAAGAATGCTATATATGTATTTTTTTGATGGAGTAAACCCCTTTAAAAACTTAACTATTATTGTCCATTAATAAATAAATAAATTGGTGTACTTGGCTATGCTGAATCTAACTTTGTATTTAGATTTTGGATACTGGACCATAATAGGTAGAAGTCCAATTTCAATTTTTTCATGTCTTGGACATGTTCGAAAATCAGTGCTGATCAATTGTTTTTTAAAGAGTTATGCCCCTTTGAAACATTAATTATATGGAAAATTGCATCATTAGCGCTCTCAATTGTTCAATTCTTGACAGATTTTTATGAAACATATATCATAGGTTTATATTAGCAATGTCTTGGACGAGTTCAAAAATTAGGGCCGATCAATTATTTGTAAAAGAGTTATGCTCCTTGGAAACATTAATTATATGGAAAATTGCATCATTAGCGTTCTCATGTGTACAATTCATGCCAGATTTTTATGAAATTTATATCATAGGTTTATATAAGCAATGTCTTGGATGATTTTGAATAATAGCGCCTATCAATTATTTTTAAAAGAGTAATGTCCCTTGAAAACATTAATTATATGGAAAATTGCATCGTTAGCACTCTCATGTGTAGAATTCTTGCCAGAATTTTATGAAACTTATATCATAGGTTTATATCAGCAATGTCTTTCACTTTCAAAAATAAGTTCTGATCAAATATTTTTAACGAGTTATGCTCCTTGGAAATATTAATTATAATGGAAATCACATTGCATTTGCTCTGAAGTCTTCATTTCTCTAAGATATTAATAAAAAGTTTTAAAGAACAAAATAAAGTGCCTTTTTTAGTTATTGCCTTTGTACCTTGGATGGATAAAATATGTTTAATGCGGGGGACATTGGAACTCTATTCTTTTATTAACCGGATTTTCGAAGTAAACATCGGTTATTGATTTAGGGATGTACAGCGGGCGGGTGGGCTGTATTTAGATATGTTGTTTCCTGCGACTTAATGAAGGTCAAGTTCAATTTTCACGATTTTAGCTTTTCTCGTTTGTGAGTTATCGCCCTTTTTAATATCAATAAGTGGTATTTTTTTGTGATCGAGTTATTTTCCTTTGAACAGAAATTGTTAATTATATACATAAAGTTTGATTACACTAAGCCTTTATAGATAATTTTCACCTGTTTATATGTCCTGTTATCAGTTTACTAAACAGGTGTCTTCCCGATTGTCCCACTTTTTGAAATTACAGGTAATAAAGTAATGAAATTTTGTGGGACAATCGGGAAGATGTTTGTGGGACAATTCGGAATTTTAAATATGGGACAATTGGGAACTGTTTTGTAAGTGATTAATTTGTTTTTAAAGTGTGTAGCAGGTAATTACAAGCAATATACCAATGTTACTTATATAATTTTAAATAAACATGGAGAAAAGATGGCATTTACATATTTTATTTTGTTTTGTGATATTTGGTTAAACTGACTGTCCAAATAAAGAACAATTATATAAAAGGATAGATATATTTTAACTTCATAAAAGATTAAATAGACTCTTATAACATAGATAATTGTAATTGGACATATATAGTCCATAATTGAAAAAATTAGAAGTATCAAGGAAAGAATAAAATTAAATTAAAAGATGTGTTAAAGAGATGTCAAAGAGATAAGAATAATTTTACATGTTCGAAAATTTCAGGAATTTGTTCTAAATTGACAGGTTTTAGGCTGATAATAAATATATTCATAAAACAAAGAATTAAATAAAATTGAGAATGGAAATGGGGAATGTGTCAAAGAGACAACAACTGAACAAAGAGCAGAAAACAGCCCAATGCCACCAATGGGTCTTCAACACAGCGAGAAAATCACGCACCGGAGACAAGCTTCAGCTGGCCCCTAAACTAAAATGTGTACTAGTTCAGTGAAAATGGACATTACACTAAACTTCGAAACATATAAATGAACTAAAATTAAAAAAAACAAACAAGACTAACAAAGGCAAGACTTGGGACAGGCGCAAAAATGAGCGGGGTTATACTTGTTTTGTGATATCTCAACCCTACCCTATACCTCTAGCCAATGTAGAATAAACAAACACACAGCAATAACATATTCCATATTAAGTCTGATCATAAAAGTGTTCAAGTAAGCATTCAATTCAAGCGAACAAAAGTGGGGGAATTTAAAAAAAAAATATTAATAAGAAAATCCTTGAATTAGAAAATCATAAACATAAAACGAAATAATGAGCAGATATGTTGATTTTATAGCTACTGGTATAACTATACGCAATAAAAAGAAATTGACCCCCTTGCTGGGTCAAACCAAAGAATGGAAAGTTGGAATTCGTCTCCTCAAAGCACGCTGCATTTTGGACTTGGACTAAAGACTGGTCAGTTCTTACTTAGAATGATGTGTCTGTGTAGGGTGACATGTCTTCCTACAGACTGTTATCTTGTGAACTAGCACGTTAAAATCCGGATTGTTGACTGTGT